GTCTACTTTGATTTTGGTTAAGGTGGATTATCACTTACAGTGTAATCAGTGAGGGGATTCTACAGACTGTTGAGGGTTCAGCCTCCTGATGAGTCGGTGAAACTCCGACGAAACAGTTTGTCACATTCCCTCGTTTGTTGTCCTCTTCTCCCTCTCTGCCTACGGTTTACCGGGCAGTTCTATTTGACGATATATAGTATATATTATATAATATATATATAGTAATGACGATATATAGTATATATTATATAATGACGATATATAGTATATATTATATAATACAGCCCCTCGTTTGTTGTCCTCTTCTCTCTCTCTGCCTACGGTTTACCGGGCAGTTCTGTTTGTGACGATATATATATAATAGATATATAGTATATACTCCGACGTTGCCAACTCTCTGCTTTTGTAGATGATGCGGCGAGCTTCTGGCCTGTACTAGAAGGCTCTTTCTTTGGTTATGGTAGAATACACTTTTTCTAATTCTCCTTTCTGTCCTTCTTCTTTTTCTTCTTTTTGCTTTGCTCTCCCCATTGTTGGCGTATTTCGTTTTATGGACCTACTGTATGGTTCCGTTTTTTCAAGTATGGTTATGGCAGAATCGTTGGTATTTTTGGCACCTTTGTCTGCATCCCGGTTCGTTTTGTCTCGTTGTTCGGTCCACGTGGCCGTGTTTTCATGTGGGACTTGTCATCTGTTTTTTTTTCCTTTTGGCATCCTAGTTGGTTGGTTCCCGTTGTTCGGCCTAGCCACGGGAGGCGGTGCCTTTATGTGGGAATCGTCATCTGGGATTGTCTTTATATATTTTTTGCCGCTGGTGGTATCCCAGTATTTCAGTTTGGACTAGCGAAGCATGCATCGAAATAGGAATACCAACTTCTTGATGACGAATAAGGCCGTCTGCTGTGTATAGATATGTATCTGGGACTCCTTTCTTTGCAGACAAGAGTGTTTTGTCCTGGGTGGTCCTGTCCTGTCGTTTGGCCTGTGAAGGAGGGGCGGTGCTTGCATGTGGGACTTGTCATCTAGGATCCCTTCTTTTGTGTTGTTGCTTGTTGCCCCCTGTTTTGTTGTATTGGCTGTTCCCTTCCTCTTTTCCTTGCCTCTTTGCCCTTTGGCTGTGTGCAAGTGGGTCGATATGACATATGGGGGTGGGGGCAGCCGCCGCTCAACCTACATCCACGTGGGTGGCCTTGTACTCGAGAGGTTCTGGACAGGGGGAGTTTGTGAGGAAGAAGATAAAAAAATGAATTTAATTTTTTTCTTTTTTCTTCGCTTTTGCGCTCTGATATATATATATTATATATATATATATTACAGCCCCTCGTTTGTTGTCCTCTTCTCTCTCTCTGCCTACGGTTTACCGGGCAGTTCTGTTCTTGACGATATAAAGAGAGCAAAGCAAAAAGAATTCCTAGAACCTTGGGCAAGTCGCCGGGCTGCCCAGCCCAGCCTTCCTGGCCACGTGCACCAGTCAATCTTAAACCACCAGTACTTGGCCCAGCTATGGATGCCGAGCCTGGAAACGGGCTGCGCGCCGTTTCACGCGGACTCGCGAGCACAACAAGACAAAATTGTTTTGGCTGGCGGCGCCAGCCTTTGAGGGCCGGTACCCCTAGCCTCCTGAAGTTGCGGGGCGTTAACGACAACCCCCCGCGACTGATGTATGTGCCAAGTACTTGTGGTTTAAGAGTCCGGGCCTTGTTAGACGTCGGACTCTTAAGCGCATCCTGAGTGCCTGAGGATGAGTCCTAAGA